GTTTGCTAAAGTAAAACCTTCCTTGTCTTGCAAGACTGAAAGATTTGTTATGTATCTCCAAGAGATACTTTCCCCATCTGATGTTTTGAATAATCCTAGGTTTCCTAAGGCATTGCGAGCCAATTTTAACATGTGACATGCATCTAATGTGGAATAAACAAAATAATCTCTTGTAGGATGCTTAAATTTAACAATCATGGTGTCATATTTATCTGTGAATCTGCATCCAAGGTTCTCCAGTGTGCTTAAATTGGTAGATGTACCATCACATGTTATGGACCAGACTCTAAAGCCATGATCAGCTGCTAATGAAAGGCCTGTTTTGATTAATGATGCTTGTGATTCAGCATTTAATTTGTCTGTTAAAAAGTATCCAACTGGACATTTCCAGTGTGACTTTAGGCCGGTCAACATAAAAACTAAAGCCTCAGAAGCAAGGTTTTCAGAGTTTTCTGGAATGATGTTACCATAGTCAACAAAGCCAGAATACTTTGACTTGAGCTGATCATAAGTTACCTGTTTCCTAATTGACATTCCATCAATAAGCAAGGCGCAATCTAACATTTCTGGCTTATCTTTGGACTGGTTTTCAAGATCCTGAAAAACCTCAGTAAGGAAGCCTGGCTCACAGTTGACGGAAGCTGTCCACTGCTTAATGGATGACTCATGTGGTAGCTTAAAAATTTTGCGTAGAAAATTATATGCTCTGTGCGAGTAGAAATTTACAGTCAGGGCAAATTGTTTTAATTCTTCGCTATATCGCCTTCCAGCTGGTTTACGGCCCTTATTTTTAACCTCATTCAGGAAAAGTTCCAAACAGGTGCCAGAAAATTGATCCTTAAGGAGGTCTGCACTTGACTGGGAAAGAAGTTCTTTATTTTTCATAGTATCAATAAGGTCACCCATTGTTTTTATTTTCTGATTTCGTCTACGCAGCTTTTGTTGAAGAATTTTGATTTTTTTTCTCAGTCGCATTTTTGTTGGTGAATTGGGATCAGATTTTCCCTCTTTAGGTTTTTTAACTGTTTGGCTTTTTTGCTGTCCCTTTGCCCCCTTTTTTAAACATGGGTTTTTCCTCACTAACTTCCTTCTGGTTTTTGGTGGCTCTCTCATGAGGTGTTTTGGGAACTTTGGGAAAATGGATGGTACAGCAGAGGGGGCCAAACGTGGCCTTGGCTGACCAGGGGGTACCTTGTAATCTGTAACAAGGAAGTGATCGCTACAGATATAGGAGTATTTTGTAGGGTGCCATTTCCAACGCCTCACTGCTGCAATCCAGAGTTGCCGCTTCTCCTCATTTGCAGGAAACCTGAAAAGCACCAAAAAGCAAAAAAAGCTTAACAAACAACCAACCTGAAAAATCACCACGAATCTCAAAGGCTTAGAATCTCAAAACTCTCAACCCATCTGGAGCAAATAAAATATATATTTATGACTGTCCGGAACGATCATTTTTTGCAAAATATTTAACGAGAAATGCAACCATGACCAGGCGGCTTCGCCGAGCAAAACTTTCCATCTACCCACAAATAATAGTAAAACCTTGGAAAAAATCTCATCCTAGCTGCTAATGAATTCTAAAATAACTGATAAATTATAAACCTAGACCCAGCAGACCCTATAAAATCCATTAGCAATCAGAAACCAACCGGTGAAATGAGACAGGCCTAGGCCTACTAGCTCCATCAACATCCCCTACTCCCATCGAATTTTCGCATTCTTGACTATCAATCTGATCACCATCAGTTCCTCCACCCTTACTTCCATCTCGTTGTCGATTCTGACAACCAAAGGCAGCACAAGAAATAACCATTTCGAAAGCAGTACGCGTTTTACAAATCACACACTCGCAGAACACAACAACCCGTCAGAAGACTTTTGCCGTGCAAATGAAATTCTTCGAAACGCCTTGTGGCTTCAAGCCTCACTTTCATGCTATCTCTCTAGCTATTCTTATACCTCATTGGGGATTTGTCACCGACAACAAGAGGCTGCCAATAACTGAAGTGAGGCTTGGAGATACAGGTGGTGCGTCTGAAGAAGGTGCCCATACCATTGGGAAACTTATCTGTGAAGAGTGGCCATAAGCATTCATTAAAGACTACCATCAATTCAAATTTTGCAGGGGATCATCGGAGGAGATTTCCGTTAGTTGCACGTTGAAAAACAAAACAATTGCAACTATGCAGTGGGAGAATTGAATGCTTAAAGAGACACAATTAAACACTCCAGATGAATTAAAACCAAATGGATGAAAGTCGTATAAGAGAGCAACAATCATATTTCACTTATTACTGCAAAATTCTCAATATTACAACACGGAAAGGAAAGGGAAATTTGCACATTGAATATAATGCATCCACATGAAGCATAGCTTGTAATATAGTCACAAAGGGAAAGTCTTTATGTTTATCCTTTGTTTGCCTTTCCAGTAGGTAAAACACCTTAATATCTTGTTATGTCTAACGACATTTTTCGACGTATGATTTAAAAGCAGTTCTAAAGTTTATGACGTCATAAAAACTATTTTTACAATTTTTGAATTCAGATCCAAAAACTGAAAGAGCAACGAGATCTCTAAAGTTACAAAATCAGTCAAATGTGTTACGAATTGGCAAAAATATGGTTACATTAGCACAGGCTCCTTCCCACCAAACCTCTGTAACATGGTCTGAATTCATATAACAGGGTAAAATAACAGTACTCCGAAAGTGAACTTCAAATATTTTACTGGCCATATCTCCCCGGATTTTAGATATATTCCACTGATTTTGCATATTTGGAAGTATTTCATCTTGTTTTTTGATGTTATGTGATTAAAATTCGAAAATTGGAAAACAAGTTTTTTGTGACGTCAAACCAGACATCGCAGAGCAGGGGGGCTGGGGAGAGACTTTAACAGCTCACTTTTAATAAAAAATGCAAAATATTGAGAAGTAAGCTACCAGCAAAGCCATAATACATTCGGTTTTAGCCCTCGCACTTTTTTAGATCCCCCACAATTCCCAACGCTCCGCGGTGCCTGCAAACTGAAAAACTCTAATGCTGTAAATAGACTGCTCTTAGTGTAGCAACGATTTCATTTTTGTTCACACTCTCCACAGATATCGTCCACACAAAGCACAAATATACCTCATAAGAAATACTACTTTATATGCCACCAAGATAAAAAACAAACTAAAGTAAATTAAACCTAACTTGCTCACCACCGGGCAAGTTTCATAAGCAGAAAACATTTTATTCATATGGGTCAGCCAAAGTTGAAAATGAAAATGTCTAGTAAGCAATGAAATTGTGGCACCACAGGGTTCAATTATAGGACCTCTTCTCTTCAGTTTTCCTTTTTCAAGTACATTGTAATAATGTCATTCAATCCATTTTAATTTCTGTGAACAGGAGATGGCTATCAGCCCTGGTAATAGTGGCTGTTTTTTAAAGATCTTATGAATTTGATCTCTAGAAAATTTAAACTTCCTGATGCATGCAACAAATGATTGTTAAATGGCATAATTATCGGGTGACAAATTTATAATTAGCATTTACAATATACTGTTTAACAAATAACGTGCGAGACTATATGATAAGGAGGTCTTTGTCGCATGGAGTTACACTTAATCATGAATACTTAGCACTCAGCCAGGGTCACCAAAACATCATGGTTCCACGGCTGTGAGCCAGAGAAAGGTTATCCAAAGAACAGTTGTTTTGAGGAAGGCCAATGCGTGACTTGACAAGAGTATAAAAAGTGAGAAGAATTTACCGTACTTTTTGAACTTTCCATTGAAGATGGTAGAAAACAATGGAAACATAGCACACTATTTCCTGTCAAGGCGTGAAGACCCGACCATAATTGGTTCAGCTTGAAATCCATTTCTTGGAAAGGTTATGGTAAACGTTTTTGACACGATATTTGGTTTTCTCTTCCAAAAAGCAAGGCTATTAACGGAATCAGATTAAACTATACATCATTCGATGCACAAGAATGTGGTGATTTCAACCATATCAAAATAATTGGTAAATATTGTAAAATGATATTTTCCAGTCAAATTTATTGCTTAAATGAGTGTACCACGTTCAAAAGCTATTGAGGTAACAAAATCTGACTTATATCAGCAGAAAGCGCAGACTTTATGTCTCGAATTTTTCAAATTCCTACTCGCTTTGAAACTATACCCTGTCGAAACAGCCATTTCCGTGACGCTTATTGCATCGTCATGTGCTTACAGATAGTTCCAGAAAAGACGTGACAGAACTCCTCGATGAACTGCTGGTAGGAATTAGGGAAGCTTAGGCTGCAATAAAATTTCGTCTTGTGCTTCCAGATAGTTCCAGGAAAGATGTGACAGAATTCCTCAATTAACTGCTGATAGGAATTAGGGACGCTAATGCTGCAATGAAATTTTCATTATATAAGGAGCCTCCATCAGGGACATAAAAAGGATCCTATGGAAACGAGTCAACATCAGGTCCAATTAAAGACCAAATAGAGTTTCTATCTGGAGGAAATGTGAATAACTCATAATAAAAAGCTGTCTCTAAGTCTAGCTCTGATCCGAGACCTCTGACAGCTGTTATAGACAGGGAATTTTGTAGAAAAAACTAGCAAACTGCCAAACCTCAAATTTTATTTTACATTCTTACTAAGTCGAACATGGAAATTCCAAATCCAAGATGGGCCAAAAAAAATTATCACCGGAAGTAACTGTTTTGATGACGCATCAAAAAAATGATAAAAAATCTTTAAAAATCGGCCAAGGACTCGAACTCATCTTTTCTTGCATTTTTGCACTAAATTAACTATGCAGATTTCAAATCTGAGATGAAATGAAAAATATCTTGAACGGAAGTCAAATTTTGTGAGGACGTCATCAACTTGGAGAAAATTCACTTTGAACCTTTTCAATTGTTTTCTCGCAACTATCATTGTCAAATATGTTCCATATTCGAATTGCACACATTCAGTGCTTTTAAAGGATGTATTGAATTTCTATTATACTTACTTTTAAACGTTCTTTCATGACGTCATCATCATTTTATGACGTCATCGCCTTTTAAAGGTAATTGAATAACGCGTGAAAGGATGCCTAAAAATCTTTAGCTAGTTAAAAAAAGTCATTCAAAATTAAAATTTCGTTGTATAGAAAATGATATGGATCCATTCATCCTTTATCACTGTCTCCTTTGCTGGAACTCCAGAAGAAAATGTAGTTCCACTCATCATCGTCTGCTTTAAGCTGATCACCTCACCACAATTTTTCCCATGGCCTAGTCCTCATTGGTTACGGAATTTTCTTCGATTTCATCACTAGAGCGCTGCAGATCTTGCAGTTTTTTAGCGGAGGGTGTGCGGGCCCTGCACAAGATGAACATAATTGTGTGAAAAAAATTTTGGAATTATTTTGCAGACTCCAGTATTTTCTGCAGATATTCACAGCTTTTTTAACGTTGAGTTCGAGTCCTTGGCCGATTTTTAAAGAATTTTTATCATTTTTTTGATGACGTCATCAAAACAGCTACTTCCGGTGATAATTTTTTTTGGCCCATCTTGGATTATGAATTTCCATGGTCGATTTAGTAAGAATGTGAAATAAAATTTGAGGTTAGGCAGTTTGCTAGTTTTTTCTACAAAATTCCCTGTCTATTATTAGACGTTGAAACATCGAGAGCGGGTGGATAGAAATGATTTCACCATCTATTTGGATGCTGGATCTTGCTTTCATGATTACGGCAATGTCTTTCCTTTTAAACGTATACTTCCCAACTTCACTTCGAGACATTGATTCTAAAATACATTTCCCGATTTTCTTTGCATCATCTAGACTGACAGCGGAAATTGCAACCTCTACCGTGTCAATGTTTGCAAGCTCCTTACAGTTGTCAAACGGATTTCTTGACGTCTCTTGATACGAGTTTGAGATGTTTCTTTGTGCTGTTCCATTTTTTATACGCAACATTTGTAACTTCTTGCATTGCTCGATTTACTTCAGCACAGGCAGGTGTTGAGCAGAGCCAAATTGCTCTTTGAAGTTCGGTCATCCCTCTCCCACGAGTGAGTCCGCCAGTTGTTTTCAAACTTCTCTTTAGAACTTGTTCAATCATAAGGTCAATTGAAAGTCCTGCCCAAAACGGTAACTTCTTCTGACAACATGATACCTCTGCTGAAACTTTACATAGACATTTGGATGGGTTTCCTGAAGATTTGACATTTTTGTAGATAGATGTGAGCAGACTTGGCGTAAAGTGAATGATCAGATGCTGCAAAGAAGGGTAACATTTTTCCCAAACAATAGCAGCCATCTTGAATTTAAGGCAACCATTTTGGATCAAATTACAATAAGAATTTCTCTGAAATTATTTTTAAAACATTTTTCCTATATCAAAAGTATTTTTGCAGTAAAATTGCAAAATTATAACTGTAAAATTGCAACATATTAGATTTTTCAATATTTATGAAAATTAAGGGAAACTTTTGGGGTTTACCTCTCAAAATGAGCAGTGGTATTTTGGGGAATTGCCTCAACCCTTTGTGGTAAGTTTTTGATAGGTTAAGTAAGTTTTCGATAGAATAAGGAGCTCAAAACACTTAAAACCATTTCTGTTGCAATTTATTCCAGGTCAAACAACAGAGTGACTGGACTAATAAGCCTGTTTAAATAGATGCAAAAAAGTAAGTGTTTCCAAGTTCGCCATACTAAAATCTTACAGGTTTATGCAAAGAACAACCTTTTTTGCTGTAAATATCTTGAAGGGTACTCCTATTGCCATAGCTCAGTTTTCACGTTTTCGCAGTGTTCGATATGGCTGAAGAATAAGAAGAAACAAACGATATATCTGCATTTTTCATTTTCATTTCTCTACCTTGATAAATTTCCCATGATTTCCCACCCAAACAGTCATCTTACAACTTTTATTTAATTTGCTTTAGCTATTTCAGTTTGCTAAAAAAAATTCGCGGCGGTGCGGCCATTTTATCTTCAGGTGGTCATTGACAGCTCATTCACAGGCTGCATCCCAGTTTTTTTGACAAAACCCCTGTATCTCGAAAGAGCCTCCTCTCCCACCCTATCAACTTTTCTTTTTGAATTTTACACAACAAACTGGTCTGGAAAAAGTTGGTCTGGTAAAGACCCTCGACGGGTGGTAATGCTCCTCCTTGTCCTTCTGGACTACAAGACAAAAACACAAATTACTCTATAGAAGGGTGGGATTTCACCTCGTGGCTCACAGGCTGGAAGGTGGGAAGATTTTCTCCATGTAAACAGGCCCTAACAGGCCAAATAACTTACAAAATATGTCACCTGTTCTATGGCTCTATATTATTTGTATATTTAACTTTGTTTTAATACGGATTAATTTTATTGCAATAGAAATTGTATTTTAAACGATTTCTGTTTGGAATGTATATTTTTGCAGAGACTTATAACGACAGTGAGGTAAACTGAATATTCATAACGTTTCAGTTAAAACAAATAATTTTACAACGCAAACAAGATATTTATAGCCGAGAATTTCTAATAATGACGATGATGACGTAGGTGATTTACAATCACCAATAGTTTCGTTTCTACGTAGATTAAGTTAAATTGACTCAACAGAATTTGCATTGCTTTCTTTTGTTTGTTCTGCCGGTTTTGTTTCTGCAGTTTATAAAACAGATGGCTAATTTGAAGGCTTTAAATCTTTTGCATGTTTTGTAAAATGTCAAAGTCAGTTAGATTTTACAGGAGGTGGACAATGTTGCCCAGTGTATTTTTGTACCCGTTTTTCCTGTCTTTAAACGCGCCTGTTGTGGCATCAAGCAGCTTCTTTATGCTTGAAAAAGGAGACCAAAATGGTATAAATACTGGCATTTCAAAGATGCACTTTAGGTGTGATCGCGACCAAAGTTGTGCATACATTAAATTCAACAAGGTGTCACAAGAGTTTCAGCTTTTAACAGAGAATTACGTTATCAGTGAGGCAGACGAAGATACAGAAACAGTTTGGAGAAAAGGTAAGGCAATTTTGCAGAGAGTATTTCTTGCGATAAAATCTTGTGTAACTATTTTATATTCCCCATTTTACTCTTAATTTGGGCGATAAGGTGGGAAGAGCAAAATGGTTAGGACTCGCTTTTCAAAAATAGCCTTTTCCGAAACAGAACATAAGTTTTGATTGGAAACTCAATGTCGTTCTTGAAATAGGAAAAGGCATGTCAAAATTTCTTTACGTCGCCTGATATTTCTGTACGACGCGAAGTGGAGTGGAAATGGTTTTGCAAGAAACAATACCAAAGCTGAACTATAATATAAAGAAGGTTACAAGACACATTGGTGATGTTAGAAAAACAGTCAGGAAAGGAATTATTAGATTGAGAGAGAAATATATTGATTTTTTTCTATTTCCAATTCGATAAAAGTTTTGTTTCGCAAAAAGCAGGCAATGTTTGATGAGCAGCAAGTTTTCATGAAGTTATTTTCAATCATTTTCATTGGAGCCTGAAATACATTCTATGCAATTGGCGTAATCTGTCGGTCGATAAGCTGTGAACAAACTTGAAACAACTGAATGAACACACTCATTTACCAAACATACCTCGTTTAGATTGTTACGTTTTAATGTTTGTTAATTCCGATATATATGTTCCGATCAATCTTCCATTTCTTTAAATAATTGTAGCATTTTTAATAGTTTTACAGATTTATCCTTCCTGCAAAGAGGCCTTACCAGGGGACCTTAACAATGGGGTATACTGGATTCAGCACAAGAATATGCAAGAACCAATAAAAGTCAAATGCAACAGAGAGATAGGAAATGTTCTCGCAGTATTTGATCACGACAGCGAATCACGCATAGTGGCTAAAGGGTTTGAAATCCCTGGATCGTATCGGTAAGTAACACAGAGTTGTTTAATAAAGATGTCCTTGAAAAATTATACAAATTTGGGAAAATTACATATTAATGTAATTGTAGAATACTATGGATGACAACATCAGTAGAATATACTACAAAATTTTTGTCTGCATAATAGCTACCCTGGGTACCAGACTCACTATATATAAAATAAAATAAAATACCAGACTATCTATTATTTTATATAGTGACTCTGGTACCCAGGGTACAGAGTATCAGGTAATTATTGATAATGTAGGAAGGTATAAAACAAATAAACAGGTGAAAAGAACCCCCTACCAACTGTCAGAAATACCTACAAAAATTTTCTTCTCCTTTCACTACAAAATAAACTGCGCTTAAAAACAAGAATAACTACCAAGCCCTGAAATTTGAAATTTGACTGCTTATGAAACTAATGCAAATTCTGGAATTTCAACTCACAGGCACAGAATCACCTACACCAATCGACTTCAAGACTTGACAAGCTTTGTCGATTCGTCACGTCAATGCCACCAGTTCACTAGAATAGATTGCTTTTCAATGAGTTTGTATTTCTCTTCCTCGAGTACCCCATATCGTGGATACCTCGTCGATAGAAGCGGTAATGGAATGGAGTACTTTGGTGGTGGGCCAACAAAAGGAAGAGGTATGGGTTAGAATTTTTCTTGACTTGGCTTCGATTCGCAGTTGAAATCACGTCCAACATAACACATTCTAATAGATTTTGTTAGAAAAGGCAGTTTGAAGATGGAGAGGGGTAGAACCAATAATCTTGGAAGTAGGATTCAGTTTAAGAACCCGAAAATAAAACAGGACTTCGTTGCGTCATTTACAACCATTGGACCCCAAAGTATAGGAATCGATGTTGTATTGGACCCCATAGAATCGTATACGGCCATTGGACCCCAAAGTATAGGATTCCATTCTGAATAGGACTCTATATTGTTTAAGACCTCGTTTTATCATATACGACCATTGGGTCAAATAGTATAGGACTCTTAAATATAGCACCCGTTGTATTAAACACGACCATAGGACCCCAAAGCATAGGACTCCATGTAGTTGAGAATCCGTTCGTATCATACATGATCATAGGATCCCATAATATATCGTAGGTATACCTGCATATTTCTTTCTACCTTTGTAAGCTTATAGTAGCTTCAATAACGTCATCAAATTTGCATTAGATGAAGCAAAATACTGACTAGAAATTGATTTTGTCAACATTTCTTGATAAATAATTTATTGGAATAAAACTGGTACAGGCATAAACATAGTTCATTGGAAAAAAAGAAGTTAATGATTAAAAATGCAACTGGCTTTGAATAGGCATTATCCTATCATAGGATGCAGTTGTGGGATAACTGGTACATGTGCAAAAAGTTCAGATCTTTGCAACTGTTATGCAAATGATGCGGTATGGCGATTTGACGAGGGATTTGTCACCGACAACAAGAGGCTGCCAATAACTGAAGTGAGGCTTGGAGATACAGGACATGCGTCTGAAGAAGGTGCCCATACCATTGGGAAACTTATCTGTGAAGAGTGGCCATAAGCATTCATTAAAGACTACCATCAATTCAAATTCTGCAGTGGATCATCGGAGGAGATTTCCGTTAGTTGCACGTTGAAAACAAAACAATTGCAACTATGCAGTGGGAGAATTGAATGCTTAAAGAGACACAATTAAACACTCCACATGAATTAAAACAGAAGAGATGAAAGTCGTATAAGAGAGCAACAATCATATTTCACTTATTACTGCAAAATTCTTAATATTACAAATCGGAAAGGAAAGGGAAATTTGCACATTGAATATAATGCATCCACATGAAGCATAGCTTGTAATATAGTCACAAAGGGAAGGTCTTTATGTTTATCCTTTGTTTGCCTTTCCAGTAGGTAAAACACCTTAATATCTTGTTATGTCTAACGACATTTTTCGACGTATGATTTAAAAGAAGTTCTAAAGTTATGACGTCATAAAAACTATTTTTACAATTTTTGAATTTAGATCCAAAAACTGAAAGAGCATCGTGAAATACCTCTAAAGTTACAAAATCAGTCAAATGTGTTACGAATTGGCAAAAATATGGTTACATTAGCACAGGCTCCTTCCCACCAAACCTCTGTAACTTGGTCTAAATTCATAGAACAGGGTAAAATGACAGTACTCCGGAATTGAACTTCAAATATTTTACTGGCCATATCTCCCCCGATTTTAGATATGTTCGACTGATTTTGCATATTTGGAAGTATTTCATCGTGTTTTTTGCTGTTATGTGATTAAAATTCGAAAATTGGAAAACAAGTTTTTTGTGACGTCAAACCAGACATCGCAGAGCAGGGGGGCTGGGGAGAGACTTTAACAGCTCACTTTTAATAAAAAATGTAAATTATTGAGAAGTAAGCTACCAGCAAAGCCATAATACATTTGGTTTTAGCCCTCGCATTTTTTTAGATCCCCCACACTTCCAACGCTCCGCTGTGCCTGCAAGCTGAAAAACTCTAATGCTGTAAATAGACTGCCACCAAATGCCACCAAAATAAAAAACCAACTAAAGTGAATCAAACCTGACTTGCTCACGACCGGGCAAGTTTTTTAAGCAGAAAACATTTTGTTCATACGGGTCAGCCAAAGCTGAAAATGTCTAGTAGGCAATGACATTGTGGCACCACAGGGTTCAATTATAGGACCTCTTCTCTTCAGTTTTCCTTTTTCAAGTACATTGTAATAATGTCATTCAATCCATTCTAATTTCTGTGAACAGGAGATGGCTAGCAGCCCTGGTAAACTTTTAATAGTGGCTGTTTTTTTAAAGATCTTATGAATTTGATCTCTAGAAAATTTAAACTTCGGGATGCATGCAACAAATGATTGTCAAATGGCATAATTATCGGGTGACAAATTCAAATTAGCATTTACAATATACTGCTTAACAAATAACGTGTGATTATAAATTATAAGGAGGTCTTTATCGCATGGAGTTACACTTAATCATGAATACGCTTCGTTATTGTTAGCACTCTGCCAGGGTCACGAAAACATCACGGTTCCACGGATGTGAATCAGAGGAAGGTTATCCAAAGAACAGTTGTTTTGAGGAAGGCCAATGTATGGCTTGACAAGAGTATATAAAGTGAGAAGAATTTACCGTACTGTTTGAACTTTCCATTGAAGATGATACAAAAAAATGGAAACATAGCATACTATTTCCTGCCAATTAGTGAAGACCAGACCATAAATTGTTTAACTTTAAATCCATTTCTATACAAAACTTTAAATCAAAACAAAAAACAAATTTCGAGGAAGGCCAATAGAGAAAAGTTGCATCCAGAGGAAGGTTGGGGCGTTGTCTTAATTCTGCACACAGCTTGTCTCAGAAAAAAATTAAGTTTGCTTCACTAATGATTGGCAGGTTGTTTCTTAGTTGCTTGAGAGATCAGACAAAAGATCGTTTAGGCCACTACATTTATTTTTCTATTATCGATCAAAAGAAGCTTTTTATGGAATCAACCATATTTGAAATCAAGATTGCAACCAATGGCGGACTGGCTACCCTTTGATCCACCGGGAAAAGCAAGCAAAAGGGCGCCAATAGGTGTTGAAGTTGCTTATTTTTAGGGCTTGTAAAAGGGGCCCGGAAAAATCTTGTCTAAACTGTTTGAAACGAATCAGTTTGTTGCAAACATTGTCATAATTCATCCTTAAAACCCTTTGCAATGGACAAAAGAATGAGAGAACTAGGTGGGAAATGAAACGGGGGCTCAGGGGCTCGCCCCTGGAAATTTTCTGAAAAACACCCTATTTAGAATTTCGGAACATGTCCCATGTTGAAAATCAAAGTATTCATCCACAATTGGCATTGGCATGAAGAAGACTCTCTGTCAAATTGACTGTATTTGAAACTTCTACACGGATGGTAAAATGAGTAGGTATCAAATGACGTATTGTCCTCAATTTTATGTATCAAATGATGATATCAAAATGATAGATTTTGAAAGTTGGACTAAAACCCAAAGCCCGTTTTTCAGTTAGCGAGACACTCACTTCCAAGATTTTATAAAGAAAGCAGCTTCTCTGGCCTAAGAGACGAGATTATTTTCGATTCAATTCGATCTCGAAATCTTTAGAAATTTGACAAAACATATGACTCCGTTCTCATCAAACGGTACCATAAAATTTTTTGAAGGTTTTGCAGCATATCATTGAGAAATGTGAAAGGGTGCCTCAGCACCTGCTAGACTAATGACTATGTTGCTCCTGCCTCCACGCTACAGTTACATATCATTTACAAAAGATATGATGCCAGTACACCAGCGTGCGGAATTATGATTAGTTTGATTAGGTATTAAACATGTGCTCAAAACGGTAGACTTATCCGAAAATGTCTGATAACACATCTTGGACAAATGGATTTTAAGAGATCTTGCTGCCATCCTTTTTATGCAAATTGATGATTTTGCAGGTTGAAAGGCTCCCTCTCTATGTAAAACTGTGCGTAGAAATGGTGAAAAGATAAAGAATTTCTTAAGAAAAGACGCAGTCCCTTTCCGGGACAAAAATTTGAAGAAAGATTGGAAAACTTTAATAGCTAGTTGTAAATTTGAAACCAGTTTGTTTTTCAAAACAGCCGGTTTAACTTTCCATTAAGTTTTCTAGAAGGTTCTAACATGAGGGCATCAATCCTCAACAAATTCTGTATGAAGTTTCTCAAAAAGTGTTCAAGATTTTTGACTTCAAGTAGTGATAATTTTTGTTGGTTTAAAACTCCTAGTTTTAACGTACAAAAAGCAGGATGCCTATGAGTTGCTAGTTGAATTGCAAAAACATAATAGCTTGCCACGGACAGGAAGTATTGTCCTCTATCATACTTAGAGCAGTTTTCATTATCAAGAGATAGTTGATGGCCCAAAGAAAAAAGGGCTATTATTCAAGAGAGACAACACAAGGAATGTGCACAAATTATGGAATCAAAAATCGGCAATACTTGAAAAATCTCCTTCTCTTTAAACAACTATTTTAACAAACTTTAATAAATAGCCATAATAACCGTAATAGCCATAAAGTTTATGTAAATCCCCCCTCCCCATCTTTGATTACATAATATGTGAACGTTCCCATACCCAATATCCAACACATCGATAATTTTATCCAAGTTACAACCATTCTGATTAGAAAGAACACAAGGAAGTGCTCAGCTATTTTTTTTCCAAAGTGCGAGCCGTCAGTTATTGGATATCAGGCACTAGGATTAATTTGCATTAGCCATAAGATTAGCCATAAGTCAAAAACTAATATGGTTAGTCAGAAGTCACTGGTTTCACAAAATTATTAGTCATCAGTCAATTGGCAAATAGTCTGCTAGTTAGCTAGTGAAAATCCCTACTACCCCCTCAACAGAAATCGAATTAATTCAAGTATTGTGCACCTGCTTGAAAATATTGCAAGCTAACTAAAGTTACAAGATGTTTTATACTCTGAGGAGTTTCAGACAAAAAAGCTTCTAGTATGTTTAAAACATTTGCTTCTTTCAAAGTCATTGCTCAAAGCGAAATATGTTCTTTACAAGATTTTCAGAAATGCTTGCAGAATTTGCAGATAATAGTGGTCAACTTAAGGCCCTGGTCAAACGATCTAACATTTCGCCCAACATTTCGTCCAACATTCTCTCGCGCAGATCGAAAAGGGAATGGGTAGTAAGTAACATTGATGTTGCTTAAAAACAATAGGAACACCAGACGCCCACGATCATGGCCGCACATAACGATGCGCCACCACATTTCGATCAGAGAAAACGAAAGGCAATCGCCGCCATAGCTATAAATGGTATCAATTGTAAGCAAAATCTAGAGTCGAAGCTAGAATCGAAGCGAGGGTCAAAGCGAGAGTCGAAGCGAGAGTCGAAGCGAGAGTCGAAGCGAGAGTCGAAGCGAGAGTCGAAGCGAGAGTCGAAGCGAACATAATCAACCCGAGAAGTCAACAACAATGCTATGATTGAATTTTGGCAGTCTTTTACCGACTACGTATGCGCAGAGCCAACAATGTTAGCTGAGGTGGTCAAACGATCCAACATTTCGCTTAATACTTCAAAACAAAAAATTATTGGACATCAGCAGCCAACATTTCAGACCTCAGTCAAATTTCGTCGAACATCGAATTTTACGATGTTGGAAGACCCAACAAGGTGGTAAAACGATCCAACATTTCGCCCAACATCATGTCTTTTGAAAGTTTTCATGTTTTTGAGAAAAATAACTTGGGGCAGAGGGCGCACCGGGAAATTTCCCGGTATCCCGGTGGGCCAGTCCGCTTCTGTTGCAAGCAATTCTTTTGATAAGGTTGTTGTTGGTAGTAGGTTTTATGTCTTTGAAGGTAGGAACAAAACTTTGCAAAGGCCAAGAACCCCCAGTAATTTATCTACAATACAACTCCGATTCATATCGAAGCACTGACTTAAATTTTGCAAGCATCATGCCGATTACTCGCTTCTTCAAGTACATGTTGTTTATTTAGTATTTAAATCAAGTCCTACCTGTTGAAAAGCAGGTGCAAAATGATTTTGCACTCAATTAGCGGATGCTCAAATTCTTTTGACCGGATCAAATAGATTCACTGAAAGAGTCTCTTTAGCACTTGAAACTGCAATATGGAAGACTTCTTCTTGAGCTGTTATTGGCCTTGTACCAAAGTTTTCTTTGTTTACACATGCCTAAATGTCTTGATGTCAGTAAATATGAGAAGCTGGGGCTAATATTTTTTACATCTTGTCTCTCAATTATTCTGATAATTGCATCTTTCAACAAAAGCCAATGACATTTTATTCCTCTTTCAATTGAAGTTTGCTAGAAATTCTTCTGTTGCTGCTACATTCGTGCAAAAAACTTCCCACGAGACCACTTTTCACACCACCGATTAAAATAGGGTGTTTTCAATTTTGTTTCCTTGAAACCTATTTTTCTAATAATAATTCAAGATTAATGTCCACAGGAAGATGATAAACGCATTGCAGATGCGATCTCTATAAGCGAAATGTATTTTAATTGATTCCGCTCTACATGTGCTTACTAAATATATCTTTTTTTGCCTTTGTTTGTGATAAAATGCTGTTCAGAATTAACAAAATATTCGTTATGCAACTTGTTTGGCAAAGAGGTCTAAATATAGGATCTCTTCGCCAAACAGATTCGCTTTTATACACGGGATTGGAGATTTGCAAGTCTAGCAACTGATCACACTTTACCCCCCAAAAAAAGTTTTTTTGCATATACATTCACTGCCAAATGTCTTGGAACGTGAGTTTTCAAAGGTAATTTAAGCCACCCCCAACTCCTCCTAGGAACAATATCGATTAACTTTAGAAATAGGTATAGGATTTTGGAATACACTGTTCTTGTGGCTTGCATGATATTTTTTTGAACTATCAGCATTGTTCTAGAGGGAAAGAGGGTTAAGAGCTGTTGCATTCGGGGAACAAATTAAAAAGAAGAAAAGCACAGCGCAAAGTGTTGGGTGTTCCAAATATTTTTGTCAGTGATTTTACGTACTGCAAAAAAAAATATAAACAAGGGTCGCATCAACATTATGAAAACCCGGCTGACTTACTTTTGAAAAAAGTTATTTCTTTAAAATACTTTTCAGAAATATTACGAAACTCTTATAGAAATGGTCTGAATTCAATTGCTTTAACAGAACATAACAAAACTCCAAAGTGAAAAAGAGGATGTAGTTTGCGTTATTATTCATTTTGATTCGTTTAGGCAGCATCTTTTTTCCTTTTCTCTTTTCCATTAACTTTTTCTCATTTTTCTTTCTTTTTTCTATATTCATACCATACTTCATCTTGTTTTAAACAACTTTTCTTCCATCTTTTTCTATGCTTTCATTTTTCATCTTCTCTTTTTTCTTTATATTTCATCTTCGCATTTCTAATTTTATTCTTCTTACACTGTGTTCTTGTTCTTCCACTTTTTCTCCTTGTTTTTCTTGTTCCCTACCTCCATAATTCCTTTTTTCTCCATTTCTTTTCACCTTCTCTTTATTGTTCTTTTTTTAATATTTTTCTCAACCTTCTTTTTCTTCTTTCTTTCATACCTTTAATAACTTTGATAAAGTTACTCGCTAATAGAAAAAAACGGTCTTTCTTGCTTTATTGTTCTTTTCCAATAATAATCTTCATATATATATATATATATTTAATCTTGCCTTCATCACCTTCATTTCTCCATTTCAATAAGGACCCCAACGATCTTCAATATCTCTTTTATTCTAGAAATCTTTGTGTTGGATGTCCAAACATCTTCCAGCCCTTCTGCATACTTCCCAATGTCCTGTACTTTCTCTTGATGGAAGGTCTTTCCTATTCTTTAGTTATCAAAGCCGAGTATGGACGTATATGTTCCTTTTTATATTCTAGTCTCTTTTCCCGGGGTAAAGTCAGAGCATAAAGTGCATCCACCGCCTTTTTTAAACACTACTGGATTTGCTTATGCGCACATCGTCTTTAACCTTGTATGCACGAAACTCTATGCTACTTTCACCCATTGTCCTTCGATTTTTAACCCTCTATAAATCTTGTAATTTGCTTTGTTTCCCAGGGAGTCTTAGGGGAGTTTCTATGAGAGGTTCCAAAGCTTACTTGCAAAATTGGAAGACGGACTTTTAAACATCGAGCTGCATTAGCTTGGAACGTAAATCTGAGCAATTTTTAGTCACAAAGACACGCAGCAGTATACACCAATTTCACTTACAGCCTCATTTTGAAAAATTCTTCAAATTCTTTTGTACAAAATTTTCGACCACAGATTCGGATTGAGAGCAATGATTTTAGTGAACTTGGAAGTTTTCATTATGGTATCGCTCACGATATTGATTTTATGACGACAAAAAGATGACAATTTTAAAAGGGATTTGACCGTGATTGGCGACTAGTGGGTAAAGTTTCACCCGGAATGATTTTTGCGGTCAAATCCCTTACAAGTTTTCAAACTTCATTTCTCCATTAAATCTAAAATACACGCACAAACAATATGAAAAATTTTATCCGGCCTAAAATTATTATGACAAAAGCAAATCTGAGGTTTGAAGGCATTGAGTCACTGTAAATAGGCCTTCTCTATAGGGGGTCATTTGGTTTCGGCGTGATCGCTGCTGTTTCATGTGATATTTGCATCCGTTGTTGACAACTTGCTATTGATGAAAATTGTTTTGTCAATCAGTACGAGGTGAGATCATGTGACCAGTTCCAGGTCAACCAATAGCATTGCAGTCATGAAAATCATGACTCAGCGGATTTTGGCACTTTGGGTATACCCGATCTATTTTATCACGACTCAATGCCTTTAAAAAGTCGTATAATTAGATTTGGAGAAATTTCCAAAACTAGGCCGTAAGTCGAATTGGTGTAATTTAGAAAAAACTAAAATAAGTAGCTGGAATTTCAGAAAATATTTTATATGAAAAAGCATGCACATGTCTTTACAAGGATATGACAAGGACATAACATAACAAGACATGTGACATAAGACATAAGACATAAGACATATGACATATGACATATGACATATGACATATGACATATGACATATAACATGACATGACATGACATGACATGACATGACAACTGACATGATATTATATTGACAAGGATTACAAATATGTATGTTTTAAGATGCTCTCTTAGACAGTTTAAACAATTTCTACAAACCGGTTGGAGATTTCCACTCTAGTTCTAGATCTAGAAGAGGATCCTCCAATGTTTACCATAATTTTTGTCATCACTTACCATTCAAAGTCAATTATTATGACCTGATAATATTTCTAATGTCATTCAATTAGATTTCTTCTACATCTCATTTCAAAAATCGCCCTGCTCTTGATTTTTAGCATGTTTAGCCCTCCTCTCAAAAATAGTTTTAGCTTCCTCAATCTGCAATATGTTTCGCGGTCCTTATCAAAGAATGGCAGACGACAAAGACTTCAAAGGGGAAAACACATAATAGTATCTTTTCTAAAGATACAATAAAAGGCGAAGCGTATTGACACTCCTACAAAAAGATATCTTTCCTTTACTCAGCTGTTCGACTGTTGTTTTTGTTTGCAACCCATAGCATATTGATGAAATCATAAGCAAGATTGTGTTGAAAGTAAATATATTGAAATCATGTACCACCTGCGTATATTACGAAAAGCTTTGATCACACCAAAGTTGCTCATAAGATTGCGACGCGGAACAAATATGTCTCAAAACAATGTCTAGTGGAAATAGCAAAGGATTATCAATAATGAACATTGCAGTTTTCATAAATTTCTTCTTACTTATCAAACTTACTTCAGCTAGCTATTTTATCGTGGTGACGGGAGAAAGCAATGGAGAAACACTATCTTTCGCAAAAAGTCATTTTGTTTGCGACCGTGATAGAAGCTGCACACATGTTAGATATAACAGAGGGTCGAAGGAATTTACACTTGTCAAAGAAGGAGATGTGATGGGCAATACAGACAACAAGAATGAAATAGTTTGGCAAAAAGGTAACGTCGAAGTGCAGTTTATATATATTTAGCAAAAGATGAATAATATGAATTTTTCGTTGTCTAAAATGGTACAATCTTCAAAATGTACTGAAAACTGAGATGGTTCCTTTTCTGTAATGTGTTTATTATCAGAGTTCATTTAGCATTGTCATAAACTCTTGTAAATTTTATTGTATATATGTGTGTGCTTGCAACAGTGTTTGCAGTGGAAATAAATAGAAAAACTTAACTGCATCGCGAATGATGGAAACGTTTAAATCATATGTTTGAAGACTATAATTGTTGGAAAACACCTTAAAATTTTTATGCTTATCCGCCATTGATGTTAAATTCATAAACTTTAACATTCTTCAGCTTCTAAATCAATTTTTTTTGGTTAAGTTTGACAAATAAATAGCAAATTCTTAATTAAGGTCCTTAAACCTTAATTCAATTTTACCATAAAAAGGCTTTCTAAAAGTAGAATTTTGCTTATCTTCTTCTGATAAGTTTTAGGAGAATTATGAAGTTTTAATCGTTACAAAGTATCTTCGGTTCTGGCTATACTTCAGTTTTATAAACTCACGCTCATACCTTTAAATAAATATTTTTCAAAAGTTCAATGGATCTTTGCATCATGCAAGGAAGCTTTACAAGAGCAACTTAACGCGAGCGAATATTGGATTCAGCACAAGAATATGAAGATGCCGATAAAAGTAAAATGCGAAAGAAAGGAAGAGGAGGTTTTCGCAGTGTTTGATCACGACAGTGAGACACGAATTGAATCAACTGGCCACGAATCTTTGGGTTCATACAAGTATGTATAACAATTGTTTGGTGGTACAAAATTTGAAATTGGCTTCGAAAAAAGCAAACATGGTACAACATGACTTGAGCTCATTCTTGATGTCTTCGATCAAAATTTTGACGTTGCATACTCTGAAGATTGTCTGATGTAGAGCTGAAGTCATGTTGTAAAATTTTTGCTTTCTTTCAAAGAAGTTTACAAAGATGTACCTTATGTTGAAATTTTACCAAGAAGTTGATTTTCCGTTGATTTATTTGCTGAATATTGCATATGATTTTCATTACTAATTGAACTATTTGATGAAATAGAAAATTTTGCAGCAATTTGATATTTGGTAAACTTTTTCTGGTCCTACTGAGATAACATGTTCCTCAGAAATTAACCAAGTATATTTTTTTTTAAATCGGATTTTAAATTCTACGTTAACGCAAAGTCTACACGGGTAAAAACGGGCCATAAAGCTGCCACAAAATTGATGCTTTGAAGGCCAAAATCTCCTAATAATAATAATAATAGTCATTCAAAGAAAATAAAGATTACTGTTTACCAGTCTGTCATAATGTGTTTCATACCGTATGGGCAGAGCTGTACACGCAAAAGTTGCCCGATGATCGCATTTAGCCTGAAACGCGGAGTAGCAACTTAGAACAATCCTGTTCCATACACAAAACAGCTTCATTCAAAGTTATAATTTATTGAAGATGATCATCAAACGATCTTTCAAACTTGACAAAACTCGTTCAATAATCAACTTTTTGTACCATTATTTTGAATCAAAAAGTATACATTGGTCTGTCCTTGTCGTAGGTTTCTCTATTTTTATAAAGTACCAACCCTTTTTTCAGGCATGGTATAAACTATAAAACCAAGCTGGAAGACATCATAGTATTTGTTGATACATCTACCGCCTGCAAACAGTTCACAAGAATCGACTGCTATCACATGCGGATTACCGACTTTGGCTATTTGGCTGACAGAAATGGGAACCAAATGACGTACATTGGAGGTGGACCGGTGAAAGACAGTGGTTTGTATATTTCTTGCTGCAATGATCAATTATTCATCAGAGATATAGACTACGAATATTTTCACTTTGATGATGACTTACTTTCGAAAGCAATTAATAAAGTGATATTAAAAAAGGATTATGAAAGAAGGTACAAATTTGCATTCACATTTTGCATAAAGAGGTGGAATATTTGGCTTGCCCCGTGCTTACATTGCCCTATACCTTTCAAAGTTCTCCTCACAAGTCACACTACTACAATTATGTATTAACCACTGCAAAAATACAGAGGAAGGTTACAAATATTTCTAAACTTAGAATACGGGTCCTAAATCTTTAAATCAAGCTTAACATTTTTTGCAGTTGATAGTGAGTAGGATGCATTTACCTGAAATCCAACAACGAAAAAGGAAGTTACCCTGAACATCACTCTTTAATTGTTCTCGCCAAGAAACGGTCTCATTCAGAATTAAACATTCTATTCAATCCATTGGTTTCCTACTTTCTTAAAGATACAATTAAAGGCATGAAATCGTGATAAAATGGTTTGGGTATACCCTAAGTGCCAAAATCCGCTGAGTCATGATTTTCATGATTGCGGTGCTATTGGTTGACCTGGAACTGGTCACATGATCTCACCTCGCACTAATTGACAAAACAGTTTCCACCAATAGCAAGTTGTCAACAACAGATGCAAGTATCATATGAAACAGCAGCGATCACGCCGAAACCAAGTGACCCCCTATATAGAGGCCTTTTTACCATGACTCAATGCCTCTAACTTTGCAAAAACAAAATTAAGATAAAATGAAAATGTGAGAACTTTTTTACAATAGGCTGCAGCTGTGGAATAACAAATACGTGTGCAGGAAAGGGTCACAAGTGCCACTGCGATGAAAATGATCTTCAATGGCGATTTGATGAAGGTTACGTCACAGAAAAGGAGAGGCTCCCACTTACTGGGGTGAGCCTGGGAGACACTGGCCAGACGGCCTATGAGAAAGGAGCCCATACGATTGGTCAACTTATGTGCAAGGGCTAGCTGCAAAGCATGCTAAAGTCACAGAAAGTATGTAGTTATAAAGATATGATAGCCGGTTTGATGGTTTGACCCGGTATAAAAACGTAAATCGTGGAAAGCATTTCTTAAAAAGGCCTAACATAGCCCACGTTACACATTATAGATTCTGCTAGTGCCTGACATCTATTGATGAAGTCATGTAGCGTTTTAGTTTACTTTTTGTATCCTTAGAGTGTAGCCTTGGTTGAACGGAAAAAAATATTTCGAAAGTTAATTTTATAGCTACTGAAATAGAAACCATTTGAGGTTAAAATGATCGCCAAACAGTAGGTTTTAGCGATCCCATCTTCTTTGAGACAATTTTTACCAACAGAAACGGTATTAGATGCTAAAAGAAAATGACAAACTCAATACTCTTAACACATAATTGAAAAACAGTGAAGTTATTTTCAGTTTTTGGAGAAGCATTTCTGGCGATTTGACTAAAAATTGATTTGAACCTGGGGACTGAATCTTGAAACGAAAACGTCCTCGATATGAGAAGAAAGTTTCCGAAACAATGAAAAGAAACTTGTCGATATATTTAAGAGTGTGGTGGCGTGCAAGAAGCAAATCATCGCGTAGATGAAATTGGAAAGTTGTATAAAATATGTCATACACGTTGCACTGCATTACGCAATATATAGAAACTTAGAGAATATTCCTGTAATGCATAAATTTTTTAGAAATATTACATGGAATATAAAAATTTGTGTACAGTCCACAAAAAATCATCGTATGCCGTTATCTTCTGTTTGGTTGGTTAAAACATAATTCATTTGTAGATCCCGAATTGAGGGTAATTCTTGTAAGAAAGAACATAGTTATAAACTATACGTTAAGAGAAAAGACTTAATTACTACGCTTCCACCCTTTCCCTGCTGGCTCTTCTGCACAGCAGTTCACTTTTTAGGAAATTTCTGCCGAGAAACCTGTTTGCATCTTTGGTTTGTTGGAAATCCTTCACAAAGACTGGGAAGTCAATAGAAGTAGAAATTGGCGCCGTCTAAAATATGATTGCTTCTACAACTTAACAGAGATGTACTACTTCTAGAAGATGGAGACATACTGCTTCTAGAACTTAAGAGAATCTCTTTTAGGTTGCTTTGAAATAAGCCTGAATTTATTAAAATTGGCCTCCTCTCTCTCTGATTCTCAGTGCGCATTGGACAGCATTGTCATTCAAAGAACGACGAATCTTAAACACTCAGAAGATTATACTCTCCAAGTTTCATTTCTCTTCTTACTCTACCATCGTAAACAAACACCAAATATATTTTCGCCGAAGATATAAGGGCATCAATAAAACATTATTGCGACTAATCATGTGACTAACTAATCAACGGAGCTTAAAAAAATGAAAAGAAAACTTACGTATGAAGATTATCCGAGGCATAGCAATTCCGGCAAAGATTCATTATTTGTTTCCTGCAAGACAAATAAAATTTTATAAGAAATGAATTTCTCGATTTTGACAATGCGATCTTAAGCTAAAGCTTAGTCCATACGTTATAAGCGTCCTACAAAATTCTACGGCGTTCTACGGAACTCTTTTGGGTGGTAGGAATGCAATTCTTTTTGAATGGATGGAAGGGTCTTTTTATACAGTAAAAATACTTCGATTAACAGCAAAAAATTTTTTGCAATGCTCTGTTTAATTTGACTTTCAAATCGCATCGAAATGTACCGATCCATGGTAGTCCGGACAGTTTTGATAAACCGGGCAATTTTGCGGACCAAATTTTACTTCAGACGAAAAGCTGGCAATTTTCTCTCTAGTGTAAGTAGAAATGACATTCTCTTGATAGCCGTTCTCCAGAAAAATCTTTTTAAGTTGCTCAAGTTCCGAGTTGAGTTTTGACTTGTAACAAATCATCAGTGCCCTGTGCGTTAACGTTTTGACAAGTTTGATTTTCCTTTGTTTTGGGCAAAACGAATTCCATCGAGTGTATAACCCCGAAAAAGTAGGTTTACGATATACACTGGTAGGAAATCCAGTGCAAAACTTTTGAACCAAAACAGCTAGAAATGACAAGAAATTGTTTTTTTCCTTTTCAAAAATAGACTGTAGGACTGGGTGAAGTCTTCATAAAGAGTGTTGGCTCAACTGCGAAAAAAGCCAGGTGTTTAATTTCGATATGTGGTATAGATGAGTTCTTAAAGGTCTTGAAGGGCTATTATCAAATTCTGTACCACGAAAAGATTGTTTGAAATGATTGTGGTAAAAAGAAACCAATTAAAGAAACGTCAAGATATTCTTAGAACAAAAAGTTTTTTTTAAAAGCATTACGTAACAAAAATATGCCTTGGCGGCTGAATTTTGGCCTTTTTAAAACTCCAGATCGGCACAAGTTTTTTACCGAACGCAAAATAATTAAATTTATCAAGATAGCTGCATTCACGAAGAAGGAGATATTGACAAAGTGGCAGTAATTAAAGTTTTACAAAAGGATCATTTTCAAAAACATTTGACGCAGAAGAGCTATTATTTGTTGGAGCCTGTTTAAGTAAGACGTTTGAATGACTAGGACAGCAGCAGAACGGAACTAAAACTTTTAAAATATGAAACTGAAGCTGAAACTCAAACTGGAACCAAAAGCTCGAAAACTTTAAACTAACAAATTGGCGATACATGATTTTATATTGCTGCATCAAAATATATACAAAAAACACTTAAAAGATGAAAATGCTTTACAACATTCATACATATGTCGAGGTTTTGATTTTCTAACGATTTAGGCAATTTGATAACTGTGCCAACAAGATAGTTGTCAGACTTCCAAGCTTTTCAATTAGAATGAAATAAAACTGTAAAATGCATGCATCATTTTTCCAACTTTTTTATGGCTGAAGTATAAGGCTTAAAATCAAATAAAACAACTTACTCAAAGCTGAACAGGTGCTGAAAAAGCTGCTGGTAAGACCACTTAAAACAGATAAATTTGACTGGCAGCCAACAATACAGAATTAAAAAATTATATAAGTTTCTAGTAACGAAAAAAACAACAACGTGATTGAAAGTTCGAGAAGTTTTGATTGTCGTTACGACAAGCTTCGATCGTAAGACCAAAACTCAAGATACTATGTCACTCCTTTTTAATTTTATCGTTTTTACTTTTATATAAAAAAAATAAAAAGCTTGAAATATTAAATGTAAGCAAAGTATTTATCAAGCTTTGTTCACAAAGATATCTTTGTTTCTACAAAACATCTGTTTAACTGCTTGACGCACAACTTAAACTGAAGCATCAAGGGAAGGCTTTCGGCAAGAAAAAAGACGATGAGAGTTCGAAGAAATTATAAAGGTGAGGGCATTTAATATCCGCATTCAACTTTTTCTTTATTTTTGACTTGTCAGAGAAAATTGGAAGATTAAAGTAAATAAACCAGCTTTATCTTCAGCAGCTAGAACTCAAACACAATAATAAAGTTTATTGACCAAGGCAAACCTGGAAAGTCTTTCTGAGGCCATCTCTCGGCAAATTTTAATTAGACAAAGTTGACTGGCGATTCAAATCGCTTCCACATATTCATGCAATACATGCAAATTTTACTGATTAAAGTATGCAAACAATCTTTTTGCGGTACAAAATTTGAATATGGCTTTGAAAAAAGTAAACATTTGAGTAAACTAAAGCTTTTCGTCTGACACTTTTCAGAGTTTAAAACGACAAAACATAGAAAACTCTACGCTAGGAAATATATATCAATTCCGCTTGCCTATTGAGATGTTACCAATGGAGTCCTAAGGTGAAAAGGAACTCCTTTTATCTACACAATAGTGGGTTTTTCGTGCTTATGTAGATAGATTCCAAAACTGCTAGATGGAACGACGATCGGGCTTTACCAATAATCCGAACCATTTCGCCATTATAGTTTTTTGCACAATCTGGGTTTTCCAGTAAATGCTGCCCGATAGCAGAATCGCAGGTTTCAGTTGTACTGCTAGATCTGCAGGACCGAGGTGGCTGTTCGCTTGGGGATGAGTTTTATTTCTAATACTAGGCGGAACATGCTGTTTTATTCTATCCTCCAATCTTTGGGTAGTGCGTCAAACAAACCTTTTTCTCATCAGTTTCTAATCATGGTCTAAATCCTTAAAAAACTTGTATCTTTGATTCCTATAGAATCAATATCGTGATTTCTAGATTTTAGGCTCGTACCTGCTTTGATGCCTAAGAACGTACCGAAACCCAACCCTTTCCTTTTTGGTGTACAGAACAGGGCGTTTTTAAGTTGCTACTCCGAGTTTGATGCTTAACGCCGTCATTAGGCAATGTTGCCTTTACAGTAGTGTAGACACAGTAGGGGAGACAAGGGGGTGGGGGCGTACGCTCCCCCAATGACAAAAAGTATCTTTGAAAAAAGCGTTTTCTGGCGTTCAAAAGGGTGTAAACCTTTTTTTTCCCCTTGCTCAACTCGCTCCTGTCCCCCCCCCCCAATCTTCCCATCCTAGCGACGCTACTGTGCCTATACGGCATCGAGCACTTTCTGACAGACCTGTAAACAGTAATTTTTATAAACCAAACGTTATATCTTATTTCCAATGGGATAAAGCTGTGAGATGACCAGTACATATGCTGTGAGTAGTGAAAAATGCAACTCCGATGCAAATGATTTTGTATACCCCTTACAGCAATATGAGTGGAAGATACTGGTGATGCAAACGAGGCGGGATCTCATAATGACTGCAGGCTAATCTATCAAGACTAAAATAGTAGTTTTCCGGACGGCACAAAAGAAACATTCACCCAAATGAACTGCAAAAACCAGCACTCTCAGAACTACACGCAATGCAGATAATAGAAACCCTTCAATAGTTAAACACATTTTTTATGGGTTTTTTGAGAAAACTTAATGCTAACAATAGCTCAATGCATCATGGGATGCCTACGCAGCGCAACGGCGTATTGTTAGCAATGAGTGTTTAAAAGAGGCACAACTGGATATTAAAAGTAATAATAAGTAATATTTATACAGGTTTACTTGATTGGGATAAAAATCCTGTTACCAATGAAGAATGCCATTAGCGTAGCGATGTAGAAAAGCATTCGAAGACAACAAATAACTGGAGCATTTGCATGCATTTCGTGTCATATAGAAACCTAGGATTGTTATTGCAAATTATGTAACCAGCTAAATCTATCAGTATATCTGCACATTGCCGAAAGCTATTTGAATAATATTTTGGTTAATGTTGTTCTGTTGACGTGAATACTCGTTGCATGGGTAAAATGAATTGACTAGAAGGATAACTCTTTGGTGTAAAGCGCCTGTTTCTTTGAACCATGCATCAGTAATTTACAAAAGACGAATTTGAACATGGCATTATCTATGACAGGTTTCCATATAACAGTAATTCAAATCTCGTAAGAAAATCAGTTTTTAATTGAAATCAAAACAAAACTTTAAATAAAACGTTTTTCTTTATATTGTCATCTATCAATAAAACTTATACTGTAAAATATTGTTTTGCATTAAAAACGAAAGTGCCTTGTGTCAATACGCTTTGGAAGCTCAATCAGTCACGGGTATATCGGGTTTTGTTTCATCATAGGGTAATTGAATAGTTTCAATCGAAGCAAACTGTACAGGTATGGTTTATGAGGTAACAACAAGTTGATTGAGTCAAACAAACCAATTGCGTCTCGGTAGGGGATGTCATTGTAACGTTCTATTTTTGCTTATACGAGATAGTTGCATAAACTTCCTAAAATGCCTTTCAGGGTGACAATTGTTGCTTTGACTTTGGTTCTTAAAGTTGCAGTTGTGAGAAGTGGCAGCTTTTTTATGCTTGAACAAGAAGAAAGTGAATATGAGACAACCAGCATCATGATCGGACACTTTCAATGCGATCGTGATAAAAGCTGTTCACAGGTTCGATACAACAAAGAAGCAAAACAGTTTAAGCTTACCAAATTTGGGGACAAAAGTAGCAAGACAGACGAAGAAAATGAAATGATCTGGAAAAAAGGTAAAAACTCTGAATAGCTTGTTTCTAAACGTTTTTAAATGAAAGAGCTTTATGGAATGCCTCTGGACATAAAAAGGCATTTTAAAATACATCTATGCAAAGTTTGCCAAGTCAGCTTAATGGGTTACAAATTGCCTGAAATATGGCAACATGAGAATAATCTCTTTCCTATCATATCACTGTCCTAGTTTTAAACTTTATAAACTAGGCCAAAAACAGTTATCTGTTAGCAAACTTAATGTCGTTCATAAGTCAAATCTCACCCAGCATTAAACATACTTGTCGAGAAGATGAGATGCGGCAAGCAACTAAATCGACTAAAAACAAGAGGAAATGTACCTTCAACTCAATTAATTAAAATTTTCAAGGCGAAAAGCTTCGAATTTTGATCTTCCCGTTTAACAACAGCTACAAATAAGCCCCGAGGAAACCGCTAAAACGAAAAATGTCCTTAAATTATATTCGTAAAACTCCCCCAGAATTCGATGAAACTTTTTTCAACATGTTTGCGAGCTCTTCGTATTGAGGAGGGCCAGGAATTTTGCTGGAAAAACTCGTTAGAATACGCATGCGTCGTGGCCCCTCGATGTTGATTGGCTCGAACAAATCATTAAGCCTTTTCTCTCAAACAATAGGAGTGAGATCTGGTCTCCCCAACAAATACTCGACTGATTTTACATATTTTATAATCGAAGTTTTCTAAATAGTAAATTTTAATGGCAAAGTAAATTCTGAATCTATTATTTGCTTAAAATGAATAGTTGCTGGGTGGTTAAAAATTCATGCCTTTCCACATGTTTTGGCAATAACAAGTCATTCAAGTTTGGCGTGAAGAGGGCACTTGCTAAGCTTGTGAATTATGTTTTGCGATAGTGCCCTTTATTTTAAAAATTTTTTTTTCAAATGGCAGATACAAATTAAGGTAGCATTTGAACTACCACTTTAACCTGATCGCAGTCATGGATGGCAACACGACTTCAAGGGAATAAACACATTTCTAAAAAAAAGCAAAATACTACATAGAACGAAAAATAAAGTTAAAAGATTCTTGAGTCTAGAAAACGTCCTTAAAAGTATTCTAGTGGTAGATAAGTGCTCAATGTTGCAAATTTTTGAAGAGGCAAATACTAGGTTACAAAATTTTTCAAGCAACTTAAAATGCTTGTTAAAAAGTGCAACGAGCAAATTAGCAATTTCATTAAGTTTGTGGACTATTTCGATTTACCCCATTCGAAGTAGAATGGAGGAAATGCAAGAAGATTGGACAAGATGCATGATGATTGGAGGAGATGCATGCTGATTGGAGGAGATGCATGCTGATTGGAGGAGATGCATGATGATTGAAGGAGATGCATGATGATTGAAGGAGATGCATGATGATTGAAGGAGATGCATGATGATTGGAGGAGATGCATGATGATTGGAGGAGATGCATGATGATTGGAGGAGATGCATGATGATTGGAGGAGATGCATGATGATTGGAGGAGATGCATGATGATTGGAGGAGATGCATGCTGATTGGAGGAGATGCATGATGATTGGAGGAGATGCATGATGATTGGAGGAGATGCATGATGATTGGAGGAGATGCATGATGATTGGAGGAGATGCATGATGATTGGAGGAGATGCATGATGATTGGAGGAGATGCATGATGATTGGAGGAGATGCATGATGATTGGAGGAGATGCATGATGATTGGAGGAGATGCATGATGATTGGAGGAATGCATGATGATTTGAGGAGATGCATGATGGAGGAGATGCATGATGATTGAAGGAGATGCATGATGATTGGAGGAGATGCATGATGATTGGAGGAGATGCATGATGATTAGAGAGATGCATGATGGAGGAGATGCATGATGATTGGACAAGATGCATGATGATTAGAGGAGATGCAGGATGATTGGAGGAGATGCATGATGATTGGAGGAGATGCATGATGATTGGAGGAGATGCATGATGATTGGAGGAGATGCATGATGATTGGAGGAGATGCATGATGATTGGAGGAGATGCATGCTGATTGGAGGAGATGCATGATGATTGGAGGAGATGCATGATGATTGGAGGAGATGCATGATGATTGGAGGAGATGCATGATGATTGGAGGAGATGCATGATGATTGGAGGAGATGCATGATGATTGGAGGAGATGCATGATGATTGGAGGAGATGAATGATGATTGGAGGAGATGAATGATGATTGGAGGAGATGCATGATGATTGGAGGAGATGCATGATGATTGGAGGAGATGCATGATGATTGGAGGAGATGCATGATGATTGGAGGAGATGCATGATGATTGAAGGAGATGCATGATGATTGGAGGAGATGCATGATGATTGGAGAAGATGCATGATAATTGGAGGAGATGCATGATGATTGGAGGAGATGCATGATGATTGGAGGAGATGAAGGATGATTGGAGGAGATGCATGATGATTGGAGGAGATGCATGATGATTGGACAAGATGCATGATGATTAGAGGAGATGAAGGATGATTGGACAAGATGCATGATGATTAGAGGAGATGCATGATAATTGGAGGAGATGCATGATGATTGGAGGAGATGCATGATGATTAGAGGAGATGAAGGATGATTGGAGGAGATGCATGATGATTGGAGGAGATGAAGGATGATTGGAGGAGATGCATGATGATTGGAGGAGATGCATGATGATTGGATGATAGGCATGATGATTGGAGGAGATGAATGATGATAGGCGTAGATGCATAATGATTATAGGAGATTCATGATAATTGTAGGAGATGCATAATGATTATAGGAGATGCATGATGATAGGCGTAGATGCATAATGATTATAGGAGATGCATGATGATTGGAGGAGATGCATGATGATTATAGGAGATTCATGATAATTGTAGGAGATGCATAATGACTGGAGTATATGCATGGCCACGCTTCTTGCCGATGAATCAAAGCACCTGTCCACATTTAATTTAATCCGATAGACAATAATCATTTTCTGCATTAACTACTATGACCAAAGGTTGGTGGATACATCAAAGTGAGATGTGGCTACCTTGTTATTATACATAATTTACTACCAAGATGTTCCCATTTTACATGTGGCGCAAAGCAATTTCAAATACCATTCAGGATTATCGATGCATTATTGCACGAAGTACCATACACGCGTTGCCACAGTTTATAACAAATTGAAACTGACTTGATTTCGTTTTGGTTTATATATAATGCTGATTGCTTTTTAAAAACTGCATTTTTCAAAAATTAACAAGTCTAAAGCTTTCTATCTAACTGAAATACGTCTAGCGGAAGGGGAAAGGATGCATATTTTAAAGATTCAATGATTTAAAGTATTTAGTCGTATTTCCAGACCTGTAAAATCTTGCTTCTAAATGCGTGGGATCTATAATTCTATCCATTAATACTAGAAGTAGAATGCCAATATAACGATAATATAGTTAGCAAATAAATTTATTACCAGAATGAAAATATAATAGTTTGATTGTTAAAAACACGACGTTTCGAGCATGTACTTGTTATCAACGTCGTTTGACTTGATAAATTTATACTCAAACTATTAACAATCAAACTATTATATCAAGTCAAACGACTTTGATAATAAGTACATGCTCGAAATGTCGTGTTTTTAGCAATCAAACCATTTTATTTTCATTCTGGTACTAAATTTGTTTATTAACTATATTATCGTTATGCTGGATGAAGTACCACACGCAACGTACATATGCCAGTTATCCAATTATTTCTATCGTACCTTCTACGCCAAAATACCATTGCCGAATAATGTTATATGATCACACATTCCTGCCAGTATGTAATTTTTAAATTATCTAGCTGTAATTATTCTTAAATTTTAGTTTCGTTTAAATCACTGATTTGAATTATTTGAGTATTCTTAATTTGTAGAGACCTTCGGTTCATGCGAAGAGGCTTTGCAACCGGGCTCTAGTACTAGTGTTTACTGGATAAAACACAATAACATGCTTGCACCGATCAAAGTCAGATGTGAAAGAGATCAAGGAAAGACGTTTGCAGTGTTTGATCATGACAGTGAAGAGAGAATACAAGTCAAAGGCTTTGAAACTCCTGGTTCATATAAGTAATTATAATTTTTTTCAATGTTGTGGTAATATGTTAGTTTTTTCAGAAACAGCTGAATCCCGTTACGTCCTATCCGGATATCACGGACTTTCATAGGTCGGATTTTCAAAACCAGTGAATTTTTCCCATTTTATTCAAATCAAAAGTCATAACCCAGATAACTCGAACTTTTATCAGGTCGGATTGATTTTCCACACCCGTTAATTTTTCACACTTTATTCAAATCAATAGCCGCAGCCCAAATTAGATCATTTCTGTATCCCCTTGGAGCGTAAAGGAATTCAATTATATATGCATACTAATGGTAGCCGATGCACATGCCAAGGAAGAGAAGGGGATGCTCATTCTGACGTTTTTAAGTTAAGTTAAGTTAATTTGAGAGAAAGGTATAAGTACCGCTTATAACGGGACTCTTATGATATTTTCTGCTTACCTTTCAATATCTAAATGCCTATATACCAAATAGAGAAACAGAGATATAGAAGTAACTAAGAAGTTGTAAGGGGGATGAGTTTTCAGGTCATTAATTATGTTTGAAACAATTTAAAAAGTCAAACATTCATGAGCTTATGAAACCGGGAATTCTGTGCAAAACAGATGATTGAATAGTTCATACAACACGTAAAATTTTGTTCAAAGAATGGCTTTCATTGCATTATAACAGAGCGCGTACATTTTAGGCGGGTAATCAACTACGGATCCCCAATTAAAGACATCGTCGAATTTATTACTTCATCAGTCGCCTGCAAACAATTCACTAGAATTGACTGTCGTTATATGGGATTGACTTTCGCTGGTGAGGAAAACCCGTTTTACGGATATCTTGTCGACAGAAACGGAACTCGAATGGAATACCTTGCAGGCGGTCCAAAGGATGGACAAGGTTACTTTCATCTGTTTATAATTCTTTTATCATTAGCACTTTATTTTCGGTGTACTAAAAGTTTCTGCAGGGGCGTGTACATTCTGTGGTTGGCAGTGTAATGGCGGACGAATAAGGCCTAGCTGTGAGTAGGCTGAAGCGTAAATGCGTTAGATAAGGAAAAAACAAAAAGGCTCTAGTGTAACTTTGCATACCCATGAAGGAAGGCATGCCGATACAAAAGATCCATTTGATACAAATTCCTTATCGATAGTCATATTTCTTGAGATCATATTTCTACGTCTGATTCATTTCTTATAAGATAGAAGTGTCAAAACAAAGATAGAGGTGTGTCACGCTTCCATTATCTTTGGCCAAAACCAGCAATGGTCGGATGCCTTTTTGCTGAGTGATTTGGCTCTTTTATCCTTACATACATTTGATAACTGCTCCTTGTAGTTAATTTTTTGTAGTCTTATTTGTTTGTAATCTTCTCTATTTAAACTAAATCTCGCACTTGAAAAAACCCTCACATTTCAAATATATATGCTTAAGTTGATAATTCTTTGCAATAGGCTGCAGCTGTGGAATAACTAACTCATGCGCACTGAGTAGTGAACAATGTAATTGTGACGCGAATGATTCTGCATGGCGTTTCGACGAGGGTTACGTCACGGAGAAGAAAAGACTTCCGTTAACTGAAGTAAGGCTTGGAGACACTGGCGATTCCGGCGAGGAAGGAGCACATACGATTGGAAAACTGTACTGTGAAGAATAACATGGAATGAACAGATTTTGCAGCTGTGATGCTTATGATGTAATTTGACTGTTCGACATGCACATTTTATCTGTGAAGACCTCTAAAACAGGAACTGTACTTTTGAAACAACTCCGTGAAGAAGATAGACCATGCTAATAGCAAACTTCGGTTAATTCAATTCAATTGAGCAATTTAATTCAATCAAACTTGTCTATAAGACTTTGAACGTAAATTACTTTAAATGCACTCTCATAATGGATATACCTTCTTTCTTGGCGAGTCAACCATTTTGCATCACTTGGTAATGCCATGCCGATTTTTAAAAGTAGCTCGTAGATTCTTTAAAACTATTTCGTTATCCTAAAAAATGTTCTTGCTGTGGTTTGTAGCTTAAAACGAAGAAAAGGGTTTCCTTAACATTGAATCCACACAATGTTATAGGGGATAGTTGTATCACCTGGTATAAGAGTTTACCAAGAATAAATTTCTGCCTAAGGAACATGTAAAGCGATCTTATTATTCGTAAATGTGTAGATGCAAGAGATAAATAAAAGAAAGCGTTAGTATTGCAGAGTCAACTTTTGTTATTCTGTGTTGGCATTCCTCTGATGAAACATGTAACAAATCGTCTCTCCGTCAGGGACGTCGCCAGAAGGGGGTGTGGGGCGCTTTACCCCTGCGCTTTGCCCGTGGGCACAAAAAGGATAGTTGACAGGCAAAGAAAGAAACTTCTCTTCTAAACCTGTAGTTTAATTACAACCTTTCGGTAACAATCGTAATGTATCAACATTCCTGTAGCAGCTGATGTATTTGACTAACAACACTTGAAATTGAATTTTCGAATACTGAAATAGAGACGGATTTAGACAGCAGATAAAAGAATTTAATTTATGACCACATCCAAGAAAGCGAGACACCCCCTTTTGTCACCAAAAGTCACTACTGTACCCTCCTCCCCCTCAAAAAAATTGTTCGGCTTCGCCCATGCTCTTTTTGTGTAAACTTATTGTTATCTTTAAAAACTATCATTGCTAATGCAAGCAGGCATGAGTATTACTTGCATTTTCTTTGACACAAAGAAACAAAAGCAGGACAGCTAAACATCAAGCTCTGTATAGAGATTTTTATATTATATTGAGACGAGAAGAAGTGAGAGAACTACAATGCCTGCCAGAAAGTTTGGAAGACTGACGTTAGTTTTCATGGTTAAATTCAACCATCCCCCTCTCTTTCTAGCAATAACCCCAGTTTACCACAAAATAGCGATGTACATTAGAAGCTAAAGATTAATATTCTTTGTTTGATATTTGTAGCAGTATCAACATTGCTATAAGGAGAGAAGGGGCGTAACTATTTTGCGAAAAATGAAAGCTTTAGATTACAACGCAATTTGCTTGGTGTTTAAAGTATTTTTGGCAGGTATTGTTGCTGAAATCATGCTAGAAACTATTTATATTATCAAACCTATCAAAGAGGATAAAAATATTATTAAATTGCATAATCATACGATAAAACAGGGCAAATAGTTTACAATAATCTTTCTCTCGTCTTGGTATGTGACACACAAGTAAACCAATTTTTTGACCGAATTTTTATTTCTGAACTATTTTCTGTGTTTAATATTGAATGAACAAAGCAGTACTATAAACTTATGTAAATGAACGAACGAACGAGCAAGATCTTTTTGCTGGAGATTTTTAAAGAAGAAATTAGCTTACAACTGATACAGTTTTTGTTCTTTTTTAACTATTCTTCATTCGGCCAGGCTATTGTACAGAATGGTTTAATGACTTTGAAAGTGTTGCTGCAAAATGCTGACGATCTTGTCCCGATAAGCTCAATGTGAAGTATACTTTAGGAACGTACCCTCCCTTTCTAAATGCAATTGAGTTCCACGCAATAAAAGAGCGGCCCTATAGCTTGTGCCGTCGGGGTGTTTAGTTTTCAGCAAATTCTACTCTATCATTATTTCAAGAACAATACCAAAAAGAAAACACTACACACGAAAAGAAGCACAGCTCTGTCTACCCTACAACAGATTGGGCAACAAGAGGCATCATTATTCAGCTGATAATTTCGCCAATTCAAAGTTGTCTTTCAGAGGAACATGCAGAAAGCCATTAAAAAATGCAAAACTGAAAATTATTGAAAAGAACACTGGCAAAATCTGATCCGTTCCGAAAAACAACGTGCAATCAACATAAATGCAAGGTATGCCAGTTAAAATCAGGTATTAACTATAAGAGTTGCGGCGCTGCCTACCAAAAGAAATGTCAAGGGTGTACCAAACAAAGAAACAATTACGGGATATATATAGGCGAAACAACGAGAAGCATAGGAGAAAGAATAAACAAACATTTAACAAAGTACAACACAGGCGACAAACCCTCAATTTTCCATAAGCACGTAGAACAAAAACACCACTGTAAGAGACAAAAAGGAACAATTAAAAATACTTTCTTCTTGTGGCAACTTTGCGATGCTTAGGCAGGTAACATAGGCCGTATTTATGAAAGAACTAAACCCGGGAATAAACAGCAAGGAGAAATTGGGAAGTTCAATTGAGCTGCGCGACAAATGTGTCAAATTCGACGCAACAAATCTATTGAGCCTAAAGCCAACAAACTTTAGAAGAACGCAAGAATCAAACACAATTTATACTGAAGAGACTACCGGCGGTCAGAAAAACCTCTAAATACAATATTATGATCATGTAGGTGCGTTTTTAAGTATGGTTTCTCTCTAAACGCAATGAAGGAACCAAGTTCCAGAAATATAATTTAGCATATAACACACGGGATCTCGTCCAAAATGCCAATGAACGAAAACAAATAATACCTTGGTTTTGAACAAGTATAATGGGTATTGAATCAAATATTCACGAATCAAACTAAAGCATTATTTTCCTGACCAAACGCAGATTATTGAAATAGAAAAGATATTGCTGATCATACAAAGAGATCGTATCAATTGCACTTTAAAATTGGCAAGTGAACAACAGACCCAGGCAATCATGTTTGCATAAAATTGAAAACGACTGAAAATGCATTGATGCAATAACGAATAACAGGAGAACAACAGGTTTTTTAGCCTCAAAATCAAATATTTATAAAAAAACTGCTTGAAGAATATCTAAATATTTGCAACAAATATCAAACCAACGGCCTAATCAATGAGTGGTAGGTAGTAGATCACAGAGCCTCATTGTTGCACTGAATCACAAAAACCGAGAATGATATTAAACGTGTTTTTAGCTTTCCTTTTGAAGACCTTTGCAGTCAGTGTTGCGGTTTCAGCAAGTTTCTTTATTTTGGAGAATGGAGAAAATAGTGATGAAAGGTTTTCTGTCACAGAAGGTCTACTTGCCTGCGATAGAGATAAAAGCTGTGAGCAAGTACAATATAACATTGACACAAAAGATTTTAAGCTCGTCGATAATGTTGATGTGGCAGCTAAGACGGCAAAAACGAATGGAATTAGCTGGACAAAAGGTAAGGATTTGTGCAGTCAAAAACGATTGAAAACAATTATACTTGAATTGATCAACGAAGTTAAAGTTGGCTTTAAACCATGATAAATGAAAAGCTTTATCAAGATTGATGAACACATCTGAATAGACAAAAAAAGATTTTTTATTGACAACCTTGTTTAATTATTCGTTTGAATAGAATTAGATGGCGTACCTTTTTTTGATGCAAAAATTTAAACAATACAATTATCGACAGTTTTTAGTAAGTTTATGAAACTATGGCAGCTGTTCTTAGTGAACGACAGTTCAGTTCTTGGTGAACGATAGTTCACTTTTCGGTGAACGACAGTTCAGTTCTCGGTGAACGACAGTTCACTTTTCGGTGAACGACAGTTCACTTCTCGGTGAACGACAGTTCACTTCTCGGTGAACGACAGTTCACTTCTCGGTGAACGACAATTGTTAGTGAACTTGTGTCTTTTTAAGTCCAAGGTGCATATAAATCATGCAAAGATGCTTTGCCATTGCATATCAACGAGAGCGAATATCGGATCAAACACATAAATATGTTTTCACCTGCAATAGTTAGATGTAAAAGAAATGAAGGCAGAATCACAGCTTCATTTGATCACAACAGTGAAGATCGCATTAAACTAAATGGCTTTGAAGCTCCAGGCTCGTATCGGTAAGTACACCATGGGGCAAAAGAGTGTGCCAGTTATTGATAAATTTTATGTTTCAAAGATTGTTTGGAATTTTTTAAATGATTTTCAAATTTCAACATTTTTTGGGATATTTTTAGAACTTGATTTTTTTATTTAAAATTTTTAAGTTTCAAATTTTTTTTTTTTAAATTTCAGAGAACTTGTTAAGATTTATGCAAGATTTTTCAACGCTTAACATTTCAAAATTGTAAGCTTACTCTTTAACTTTGAAGAAAATGTCATTGGTGATTAAAGGCGATCGACAGATACTAGAAAAGCTTAAAACATCTTTCAATCAAAAATTGACCAATCAATGAGCAAGATTGGGTCATTGATTAGCTAATGTCAAATGGCAGATGGCTTGAAGGCAATCTGTCTCGTTGTGGATTGGTTAACGAGAACAATAGTTGGAACGATAGCCTAAACACGATTCCAGCGCTCCGCTATATTTTTTACAATGCGATAAATAAAGGGGGACTGGGAACAATAGAAATCCCTTTGTTCTTATAACCAATCAACGTCGTGACAGATTGCCTTTAAGCTACTTTTACATCTGTCGTTTGCTTTTAACTTTTGCTTACACTAAAATTTTTATGCGAACGTCACGCTATTTTTACCTACTTGGTCCAGTTTGCAATATCACCTCTTTACTACCAAAGCACAGGGCCTTTGGAAATTTCTAAGAGAAAGGGTAAGTTTGGATGACTATTGAAGTTTGCCAGTAAAAATCAAATGCCATGCAGCATGGTTATGGTTTTCACAAATTAGGTTAATACAAATTTTTTAACACATATAAAGGTACTTTTTAGATAGCTATAAAGAGTACTATTTACCAGTTTTGCATAGAGTGTTAGATTCCGTAAAAGCCGAGCTAGATACTTTGATGTAGAGAACTGGACGGTTCTAAGCTGCTACTCTGAGTTTCACGTTTCATGCCATTATCAGGCAACTTAAAGCGAACTGTATAAGTTTCATTGTATAGGTTAATGTAAAAATCTTGTATAACTTTCATTGTATAGGTTAATGTAGAAATCTTGCTACAAACATACCTAAACAAAGTTCGATAGCATGATGACACAGAAAGAACTTTTAAAGTTGCAAAATCCATCATAAAAATTTTTTTGGTTAACGATTAAGATTTCATGATTGTTAAGAATTAATTAATTGTCCTAATGTGGAATACTTTAGTTACAAAGGTAACTGCACTTTTTAAGAGAAATAATTTAATGCTTCACATCGAACTTTTTTAAGGCATGAAATAAAGTACAAATCTAAACTAGAGGACATCATCGCTTTCGTTGACTCGTCATATGCTTGCAAACAGTTCACAAGAATCGACTGCTATCACATGCAGATAACCGACGTTGGCTACTTGATTGACAGACGTGGGAACCAAATGGCGTATATTGGAGGTGGACCGGTGAAAGGCCACGGTAAATACTTGGCTTATTATTTATTTAAATGTGCAGTTCAACTTAGATAGTTATTTGCTTGCTATATAGAGTGATTAGAGATAAACGGTTTTGAAAAACATTTCAATATATTGTTTATTCTTCGTTCCATAGGTTGCTCGGTCATATGGCGGCTTCATTTGTCAGTGAGTGAGTGAGTGAGTGAGTGAGTGAGTGAGTGAGTGAGTGAGTGAGTGAGTGAGTGAGTGAGTGAGTGAGTGAGTGAGTGAGTGAGTGAGTGAGTGAGTGAGTGAGTGAGT